CAAAGCTCGGGTTGGGGGTGGGAGAGTGTGTGATGTGGGGGAGTGGGGGAGGGGGGGGGGCAGCCGGATAAGTCACAGTGCAGCGCCCAAGCGCTAGGCGCTGCACATTAAATGTGTGGCGCCCGACGGCTAGGCGATGCACATTGTGTGGCGCCTAGCACCGAGGCGTTGCACAACTGGGTGCGGGCCCAGGGCTGCCACGGTGGACTGGCGTGCAACGTCCACTTGCTAGGCGCTGCACCGTAGGGTGTGGCGCCGGCGTCGCGGGCGCTACACAAAAGGGTCAGAGGTGTGAAATAGTTTCACAACCAGTTCATTCTGTGAATTGATTTCGTCCACAGATCAAAATTATCAAATTTGCCCGTTCTAGAAGGACCATGTTTGATAAGGAGTTAGATTCTTGGCGAGGAAGGGAAGTCAATTGGGATAAATCAGGCGCTCAATTTAGCCATGTCTGTGTCGACAGCCTCTGCTGTTGTGTGCTCGAAAGCACCATTGATCATAAAGTTAGTACAAAGTTGTGTCATCTATTTTAAAACGGAAAGAGTATATATCAATCCACGTGTCGTTATCTTTTCAAATCAAGATAAAAGAAGTTTTGTCTAGAAGCCAGCCCCGTGCAAATATCCCGTCCATGTCGACCAGCAGCACCATGCGTACGACGGCTTCCCGGCAGACCACACGTTCCCACGAGCTGTGGACCATCTATAGTCTAGTTGGTGCGCATCACGGCTGATCTCACCGCGACGAAACGCCTCTCCTCTGCCTTCTCTACCCCGGTGGCGGTGGGTCACAGGCGCGTAGCCAGCAACCAGGCGACCAGAAAGGCATGGTCGAAACGCAGCCACAAAGGCCATATAAATACCCACCTCCCCCGACCCGAGTCTCGCAACGGAAACCCACAAACATTTCCCGGTCTCATCAAACCCACAAGCAGTACCAGAGGCAGAGGCGTACAATACAGGTCGCTGATATTTTCACCCTTATCCTGAATCCTGAGTGACCACCGGTCCACCATGGGTCTCGTCTGGATGGTGGCGGCCGCCGTGGCGGCGGTGCTGGCCTCGTGGGCGTTCAACGCGCTGGTGTACCTCGTGTGGAGGCCGCGGGCCATCACCCGGCAGCTCCGCGCGCAGGGCGTCGGCGGGCCGGGCTACAGGTTCCTCGCCGGCAACCTCGCCGAGATCAAGCGGCTCCGCGCCGACACCGCCGGCGCCGCGCTGGACGTCGGCAACCACGACTTCGTCCCCATGGTCCAACCCCACTTCCACAAATGGATCCCCATCCACGGTACGTAACTCAGAGACACTGCAATTGCTTCCGTAATTCGATGCCGGCCGCGCGTCTATCTTCTTCCTTCCTGTTCTTACGTTGTGTTCTGCTCTGCAGGTCGCACGTTCCTGTACTGGTTCGGGGCCAGGCCGAGCCTGTGCGTGGCCGACGTGAACACGGTGAAGCAGGTGCTCTCCGACCGCGGCGGGCTGTACCCCAAGAACCTCGGGAACCCGCACATCGCCCGGCTGCTCGGCAAGGGGCTCGTGCTCACCGACGGCGACGACTGGAAGCGCCACCGCAAGGTCGTCCACCCGGCCTTCAACATGGACAAGCTCAAGGTACGTGTCCAGCTCCAGCGCCACACGCGTTGACGTCTGCGTGTTTTTTACTATTCGATTTTAAGTGTGCGCGATGCGTGTGACTTCCGCTAACTGTTATCTTTACGACAGATGATGACGGTGACCATGTCCGACTGTGCCGGGTCAATGATGTCGGAGTGGAAGGCAAAGATGGAGAAGGGGGGCAGCGTGGAGATTGAGCTGAGCCACCAGTTCGAGGAGCTGACTGCGGATGTCATCTCTCACACGGCATTCGGAAGCAGCTACGAACAGGGGAAGAAGGTCTTCCTCGCGCAGAGGGAGCTCCAGTTTCTTGCCTTCTCCACTGTATTCAACGTGCAAATCCCAGCATTCAGGTACCTTCCAACTGAAAAGAACCTCAAGATATGGAAGCTTGACAAGGAGGTGAGGACCATGCTGATGAACATCATCGAAAGCCGTCTTGCCACCAAAGAAACCATGGGCTACGGCAACGACCTGCTTGGGCTTATGTTGGAGGCATGCGCGGTAGAGGGTGGGCATAATCCGATTTTGAGCATGGACGAGATCATAGATGAGTGCAAGACCTTCTTCTTTGCCGGGCATGACACTAGCTCTCACCTGCTCACATGGACCATGTTCTTGCTGAGCACGCACCCTGAGTGGCAGGAGAAGCTCAGGGAGGAGGTACTAAGAGAGTGTGGCAGTGAGGTTCCCACCGGTGACATGCTCAACAAACTGCACTTGGTCAACATGTTCCTACTAGAAACTCTCAGGTTATACGCTCCTGTGTCGCTCATTCAAAGGAAGGCGGGTTCGGATCTCGAGGTTGGTGGCATCAAAGTGCCTGAAGGCACGGTCTTGACGATCCCCATCGCGATGATACATCGTGACAAGGAGGTATGGGGAGAAGATGCCAACGAATTCAAGCCCATGAGGTTCGAGAATGGAGTGACGAGGGCCGGAAAACATCCCAATGCCTTGTTATCTTTCTCCAGTGGGCCGAGGTCGTGCATTGGGCAGAACTTTGCAATGATAGAGGCCAAGGCTGTGATCGCCGTGATCCTTCAAAGGTTCTCGTTTTCCCTATCACCTAAGTATGTCCATGCCCCAATGGACGTGATCACATTGCGGCCCAAGTTTGGGCTTCCCATGATCCTCAAGACTCTAGAGATGTAGAAAATATGTACGGTGTTAAGTATAACACAATTTTGTATTATTTGACTGGATTTTAGTATATGTTATGCACTAGATAAGCTTGTAAAATTATTGATGTATAATGTATCCTATTTGTGAGTGTAAATAACAAAAAATAGTCACTATCTATAGTTAAACCAAAATAGTTACCTAAGTATGTCACAATTTTTTTAAATGTTCAAATTTTAAAAATATTCCCCAATTTTAAAATGTTTGTGTTTTCATTTGTAAAATCTTCTTTTTTTCAAAAAATATTAGCAAATTTGGAAAATAGTCGCATAACCAGAAATGTTCAAATTTTGAAAAAAAATGTGGTTTCAGAAAATGTTCGCAAATTAGAAAAAAAAACCTGTTTTCTAAAGCATTCACAATTTGAAAGATATTCATGTTTCTCAAAATATTTTCAGAAATATGAATAAAAGTTTATGCTTTCAGAAAAAAAATTCAAAAATTGGGAAAATATGCGAGCTTTCAAGAGAACATTCACATATTTGAATAATTGTTCGATTTATAAAAAAGTTCAAAAATTGAAAAAGTATTTGCATTTAAAGAAAATATTCGCAAGTTCAAAAAAATTGTCACGTAGAAAACATTCACATTTTAAAATATTTTAATTTGGGGAGGGGGGCTCGTGTAGTGAAATTCTCCCCCAATTTTTAAGAAGCTCTCGTAACCCTCTCGCTTCGCTCCCCCGCGAGTGACCGAGGGGGCAACCCTGGCCGCCGGCACCTCAGGTCCCCCGCCCCTCTTCTCCCCTTGCCACCGCCGGTCCGCGCCGCCGGGCAAAGCCCGATAGGTGCTGGCGGCGGCGGGCCCCATCTCCTCCCCGCGCGAGGGCTCAGCATGGGCGGGCGTTCTCGAGCGGCGGCGGCATGTTTGTCCAGGGCGCGGCGGCACGCGGGCAGATCCGGCGGGGTGCTGCGGTGCCTCATCCTGCGCGTGGAGGGCCGGACACGGTGGGGGCTGCGGGATCACCTGGAGGCGACAGGGGTGACTCCGGTGTTGGATCCGCAAGCAGTAGGTAGGGTAGCGTCCCTAGCCTATGCGGCGGAGGCCGGATCCATGGCCAACATGGTGCTCTTCCCCTTGGTGGGTCTATGCCTGGAGATGAGCGACGAAAGTCGTGGATCTGGCGTCCATCCAGGTCCGCCCCGGCGTGGCAACCGGTGGCGCGTGGAGGACCGGTGAGGGGCGGCAGGAGGCTCCCTGCCGGCATGCCGACAATGGCTTTGGTCTTCACGGCGAAGCTCCGTTCGGTTTCAGTCAGCTGCGAGATCGAGGGGCCGTGATTTCTGGTGAAAATCGCACCGACTACGGTCACGGCAAACGATGGCGGCATCTATGACGTCGTTCCCTTCTTGAAGCATCGTTGTTGTAGGTCATGGCACTTCACTCGTAATGCTACGGGGAAACCCTAGATCTGGGTCTACCAGATCGGACGATGATGTCACCTTCAATGTCGTTGTCCCTCCTGGGGGCATCGTTTTGGAGCACATGTTGGCTGGAGGGGACAAGAGGAGGAGTGGTGTTACATCTACCGCAAGGCCGATGGTGGATCCTAGCGGCATGTCGCCGCGGAGGTTCAGCGATGGGCGCGTATTGGATATGGACTCGCGTAGGAGGAGGAAGTTGTCTGGTGTCATGGTGGTGTTGATGGCAGAGAGGCCCGGCAAGGTCGGTGCATCAGTTCTGCTCAGAGGATGGACTGAGGGAAGATGGAGGTGACGGCCCTTGTAGCGTGCGGTGCTCACTAGGAGTGTGCCAGACCAGTGTGGGACCCAATCCAGATAGTGGCTTGGATGGGACACCTGACTTTAGATATTACGCTTTGGTGCGATGTATGTTTGGTATTAGGCTAGGACATTTGGCACGCCTTCATCGAGGGGATAGGAGTAGCAACAACGTTGCCAAGATGGTGGCTTCAGGCTTGTTGATGTATCACCTTGTATGGTCCTTGTGAATAGTTAATAATATGGCTACATGCATCGTCCAGACGCAGAGGCCGGGGTAGATCCTCCTTTTCTAAAAGAAACAATCTTGCAAATCATGTTTGGGGGTTGGCCGCCATGCTTGGTTAGGTCAACCCGCAGACCTTTTTTTTGTTCCTATAAACATTGTGACGATGCAATAAAGCTTTGTGAGGTTGTCTAAAAAAATATTTTTCCCTGATCAGTTTTCTAGTGGTATTTTTGTTTGTTTTACAGAATAGCTAAAAAATATCTTTTAGAACTTATGTTTTTCAAAAAGTTGAGAACTTATATTTGGAAAATACCTTAACATTTAAAAAAAATGTGAACATTTGGAAAGTGATTCTTCTGGAAAATAGCGCAGATATGTTTAAAATATTTTGTCATTTTAATACAAATTTAGAAAGTTTGTAAAAATATGGAATTTTTTAAAAAGTTCAATCTTTAAAAAAACATGAAAAAATAAATGTGAATATTTCTAAAAACATCTAACATTTTCTAAAAATGATGAAGTTCTTTGAAAGAAAAAGTAACGACTAGAAAGTAAAAATAAAAATAAAACCTATCAAAGATCCGGAAAGAACCTTCTTGAAGGTTCTCAAATCCGGCAAAGAAACCCAAAAGGACCTGTTAAAAATGTTCTAGGCCCAAATAGCTGAATGAGGCCCTAGGCCCAAACATAGTTAAAATCGAAAGGGTATGCCCTAAAATCACAATAGTTTATGAAGCAAATACCACCAAGGCTTGCCCTAAAATCACAATATATATGTCAGCAATACAACAAGGTAATGGTACTGAAAGTGTGGTACTAAATGTTGGTACACAATCTGGTTCTAAGAGAAAACATAGATCTGTGGTTTGCAATGATTTTCAGGAAGTAATTGTTGATGGGAAATTGAAAGTTGAATGTGCGTTCAGTCACAAGAAACTTAGTGGGGAACAATCTCATGGGACATCACATTTAAGGTCTCATTTGGAAACGTGTGATGCTAAGAAATCCGTAGATTCAAAACAACAAAAAATGAGGTTGACAAAACGTGATGCTGGTAAAGTCAATTTAGAGAACTATGTGTTCGACCAAAATGTTGCTAGGAAAGAACTTGCTATCATGATATGTGTGCATGAGTACCCTTTGCCCATGGTTTACCATGCTAGTTTCATATCTTTTTGTGCATCCTTACAACCTATATTCAAGATGGTCAATAGAAATACAATCAAGAATGATATAATTGGTCTCCGTCGAATGCAAAAGAACACTATGATCCAGTATTTTTTGCAAAATTCAATCATCGAGTGGTTGTGACTTGTGGACTGCTGGACATCAAAAGAAAGTCTATATGGTTGTTACTGCACATTTCATTGATGAAGACGGGAATTAAATAGTTTTCTCTTAAGGTAAAAACTATTTTATCTACTTGTAAATCTGAAACTTTTTTATCTACTCGCTGTTTGAAACTGATTTATATATATGTTCTTGGTTCATGTATGTGCCATGCCCTCATAACTCTGAAGTTATGTGTGAAGCACTACATCAAGTCCTCGCCGAGTGGCATCTTGAGAGGAAGATATCTACAATGACTCTTGACAATTGCACATCAAATGATAAAGCTATTTGGAATATGGAAGATAAGTTGGATTCTAACTCTCTTATATTCGAAGGCAAGTTGGTCCATATGCGTTGTTGTGCACATATATTAAATTTGATTGTTCAAGATGGAATGAGTGTCTTGAAAGAAGGTATAGAAAGATTCCGTGATAGTGTTGCTTATTGGTCTGCCACACCAAAGAGGCATGAAAGGTTTGAAAAGATGGCACGCACTCTAAACATTCCATACACTAAAAAGATCGGACTCGATTGTAAAACACGATGGAACTCAACTTATGTCATGCTTAGCACTCCATTGCCATATCAAGAGATTTTTTATCGTCTAAGTCGACAAGTCAAACAGTTTTATTGTTGTCCAACAATAGAACATTGGAATTGTGTGAAGGACATTTATGATAAGCGAAAGATCTTTTATGATATCACAGGGTTATTGTCGGGTACTAAATATGTGGCAGCTACTATTTCCCCCCAAAGATATGTTGTATTCGTTTGGAAATAAGGAAATGGTCAGATATTAATAATGAATTGATGCAAAAGATGTCGGCGGAAATGAAGGAAAATGATAAGTATTGTCTTGTTGTGCATGGTCTTATGGCCATGGCAACTATTCTTGATCCTAGGTATAAAACTCACATGTCAAAGGCTTTATTTGGATCTCTTTACGGATATGAACATGCAGCCAATAACGTTAATGAAATTAAAAAGCTTATGGTTGAATTGTTGCTAGAATACAAAGAATCCGACGAGCCCTCTACTTCTGTCCAAGTTGCTGTCCAAGTTGACAAAGATAGGAGGATGAAACGGACAAATTCTTTGATCAATATATGATGCATCAACCAGTTGTTTATTCTCAGCTGCGCATAGAACTGGACTTGTACTTAGAGGAGCCTACTCTCCCTAGAACACAAGAGGTTGACATCATTACTTGGTGGAAGATTGGAGGTATGAAGTATCCCGCCTTGCAAAGGATTGCTTGTGATATATTACCCATTCCAGTTACAACTGTGGCATCTGAACCTGCATTTAGTACCAGTGTCAGAATACTTAGTGTGCATCGAAGTCGCCTTGCACCCAAAACCGCTGAAGCTCTTATGTGCATGCAAGCATGGAGTCGTGTTGATATGTTTGGTAATAAACCATCTATTTCAGTCGTGGATAAACCATCTATTTCAGTCGTGGATAATTATGAATTAGATTTTGTTTTCTTTGGCTACCTTCTTACTAAATGTCGAATAACTTTGCTTTAGATAATATTACTTACAACCACTTTATGATCCAATCTGTTCTTGAAGATGATTAAGAAGCTATGGTAACAATATGTCGCCTTCATTTACAACTTATCATGTAGATACATGTGATGTTACTGTATACATCCTTATACTTTTTATTTATTTTGCAGGACGAATGTGAATCTGAAGTCACAATTTAAGACTAAAATGAGCAAGTGGCTCTGGGGACGGGATGTTAGCATTGAACCATGGGCGTGCATTGCTGTTATTCATGCCATGCTTTTTGGCTGATTGTTATTAGCATTGCAAGTTTGCAAATTATTATGTTTCTCAA